CCAAATCAATGGCATGACAAATTTGATAAGACTATGACTGGTAATGGTTTTCATGTTAATGAAGGTGACACTTGTGTTTATTTTAAGCATGATAGTCATGGTTGTGTAATTATTTGTATTTATGTGGATGATATGTTGATTTTTGGGACTGACTTGGATCGAGTAAATGAGACAAAACAGTTTTTGAGTTCGAATTTTGAAATGAAAGACATGGGTGAGGCAGATGTGATTTTGGGAGTAAAAATCAAAAGGACTCCAAAAGGCATCTGTCTTAATCAGACACACTATGTTGAAAAGCTTCTTAAGAAGTTTGACTCATTTAATGTCGATCCAGTTAAGACTCCATATGACCCAAGTTTCCACCTAAAGAAAAATAATGGTGATCCAGTTAATCAATCTGAGTATGCTCGAATTATTGGTAGTGTTATGTTTCTAATAAACTACACTAGACCTGACATTGCTTATTTTGTTAGTAGGTTGAGCAGGTACACTCATAACCCAAGCAGTGATCATAGATTGCTCTTAGGAGGTTGCTTAGGTACCTTAAGGGTACTGCGGATTGGGGTTTGCACTACTCCAAATTTTCTGGAGTTTTGGAAGGTTTTTGTGATGCCAACTGGGTATCCGATAAGGATGAAGTTAACTCCACTAGTGGCTATGTCTTCACCCTTGGTGGTGGAGCTGTATCCTGGAAATCTTGTAAGCAATCTTGTATTGCTATGTCTACTATGGAATCTGAGTTTATTGCTCTTGAATTGGTAGGTCATGAGGCAGAATGGTTGAGGAACATGCTTGCAGATATTCCGCTGTGGGGGAAGCCAGCTCCTTCAGTTGCACTTCATTGTGATTCGCAAGCTGCTATTGTTGTTTCTCACAACCATGCCTATAATGGGAAGAAGAGACACATCCATCTGAGGCATAAAGCCGTCAGAAATTTGTTGTCTGAAGGGGTGATATCACTGGACTATGTTAAGTCCGAAAAGAACATTGCGGATCCGTTAACTAAAGGCCTATGTAAAAAACTAGTTTTGGAAACATCGGAAGAGATGGGGCTAAAGCCCGTTGTATGAATTGTGAAATAGTGAACTCCTACTCACCATGAGTTCAAAGGGGAACATTATATAATAATTCGGAAGCACATTTTATTTTTATTGGACCATCTCTAGATGTTTGTTGTGCTTAGCTACAAATGAGAAGGAGGTTGGGCATATGGCTCTTAATGAACCCATATCCATATTTTTAGAGGTGTGTTATAGCTCACATTTGATGGAGTTCACCTACTTAGGTGTGGAAGTGCAGCCGCTTCCTATGAGTATTTCGTGGGCTTATACTCTAGAGCACCTATGAGCATCCAGGCTGGACGTATGGCCAGTATAATGCGTCATCTTTATTCGCGGAATTTCAGAATATTATACATGTTCAATTGTGTGGCTCAAAGTGACGGGTCCCTAACTCCCTATTGAGTTCAAGACGAAAGTCACTTGGTAGGTGAGGGATCATAGCTTGATGTCCACTATGTGTTAATTCAAGTCGCGAGAATTGACACTTATGCAATTGTTTTGTTTTGCCCAGAACTCATCTTTTCCTTCCTTTCTTTTTCATATCTTCGAACCTGTGGGGGATTGTTGGAAGTTCTTGATATAAAATAAGAGGGTTGGGGAAAAACAAGAGAGAGAGAAAAACAAATGAAAGGGAAAAATCCCACAATGGTTGGGGGGAAAGGTTTTTCCTTGTTTTTATATTGTAGTGTCTTAACACTACTTAGTTGAGTGAGTGGGAGTTAAGTGTTACTCCACACACACGCGCGCGCGCGCGCCGAGCCGGGCCGGCTCGGGCCTCGGGACTTGGGTCTTGGGGAATGCGATGCGCGGGCGTGGGTCCTAGTTATCTTTTTAGAGAAATTTTATTTCCTTTTCTTTGTTAAACATAATATTCTTCTTTGTCTGTTGGGAATATTCTTTTCTAACTGTTGGGATTACGAAATTAAGTCAGTAATTAATCCCTTGATTATAGCTGACTAATTAATTCCTTGTTTCTTGCTTCCGTTGTTGACTGGTTGAATGAATTTGGTCGTTTTCTTAGCCAGATTCGTCCCTCGTTTTACGTTTCATGTCTCCCTTCTTCTGCCTATATATACTTGTTGCTTTTTCCAGTCAAAAACACACAACACAATCAGTTATCTCTCTTCTCTCAAATTATCTAAACACGGGTTTTCTTCTGTTCTGTTTTCTGGGCAAGTATTCTGAGTTCCAGTCGGGTTTGTGAGTGCACATAAACTCTGGCGCCGTGCTTATCCTGGAGGGCGACTGCTTCTAGTCTACTGCACCGGGAGGTAGCGCGGAATTGTCTTTTAGGTCAGTGGTTCTCCACAACGCGGCTATTGTCACTTTGGTTCACACATCAAAGAGTTTATAAGTGTTCTTTAACGTTGTGAAATCGCATTTTTAAAAAATTTAATTATTGGTAATGGTTGCTTTAAGAAAAATGAATAATTAAAGATGTTTTGTGATTTAAATTGATTGTTTATTCAATTTTTTAGAATGGTATGACGGAGTATTTTAGATTTTTGAATTGTAAACTTATTATTAGTATTAAACAAACATAGAACTTATGTTTCAAGTAATTTTGTTAAAGCTTTTTGTTCAAGCATAGAGCAACATCGTTAGTCCGTCCACTAGTTGAAAATCTTAGCTTTGTCACTGCTAACAAGCAATTATTGTACGGAATATAAAACTATGTTTAATCTAATGTATAAGGCAAAAACTCAAGCCTATGATGATGAATAGTGTAAATTTAAAAATAAAGAGTGTGGTACGAGAGAATGGAGTTTTAATTGTAGTGTGTGGACACAGTTATTGGATTTGTTTGAAGTTTTGAACATGTTTATTGAATATAAATGGTTAAACAATTTTTTTTGTACATCATTAAAAAAAAAAAAAAAAATGATGCAAACAATAATGAATAGAGGGAGTATGTGTATTTATGACAAAATTATTTTGTATTGGTGTACTAATGCTTTATAATTCTTATAATTATTTCTAATTCTACCTTCTTATCATATTTTAATTTTAAATTTCCGGTGATAAGTTACATTTCACATGAAATAACTTCCTATTTATTGTCAAAATTTACAATGCCCTTTGTCGGGCTATGTTTTAGATAACCTTCCTATTTATGAACATTTTAGGAATTTGGTAAATTTGTTTAGTTGACATAAGACCTATGCCTTTCATGTGAATTGTGATTATTTGTGAAAGACTAAAAGTAGACTTAGGGCCTGTTCTCTTCCGTTGAAATTCAGTTCAGTTCAGCTCAGCTCAGCTCAGCTCAATTCAGTTCAGTTCAGTTCAGTTCAGTTCAGTTCAGTTCAGCTCTTAATTTATGTCTAATGATATTGCTAATGATATAAAGCCAAATTTCTTTCTTTTAAGCTCTTATTACAACGACGACAACAACAACAACAACAACAACAACAACAACAACAACAACAACAACAACAACAACAACAACAATAATAATAACAATAACAACAACAACAACAACAATAATAATAATAATAATAATAATAATAATAATAATCAATAAGTAATAAATAATAATAATAATAATAATCATCAATAAATAATAATAATAATAACAATAATAATTGAAATAATAATACTAATAATAATAATCAATAAATAATAATAATAATCATCAATAAATTATAATAATAATAACAATAATAATAATAATAATAATAATAATAATAATAATAATAATAATAATAATAATAATCAATAAATAATAATAATAATAATAATAATCAATATGTGTTTAAAATGTTTAGAGGTTTCAAGTTTTTAATATATTTTCCATAAATTTTATAATTATATTGTACTTCCTCCGTTCTTTTATTATTGCACCACTTGCCATTTTAGGAAGTTTCACAAATATTGCACCATTTCCTCTTTAGGAAAAAAATTATTTGTGTTCACACTACAAATACCCAACATACCCTTACTTTTTCACATTTACTTTTTAGTTTATTAATATGTCACATGGGAAATTTTGTATTTTTACCTTTCTCTCTCTTACTTTTTTCCACTACCAAACTATTTGTACCCAACCCCTATGGTGCAATAATAAAAAAACGGAGGAAATATATTTTTCGTAAATATTTTAATTATGTACATTTGTATATACACATATGTATAGTAATAAATAATCAATAAATAATCAAAGATCACTAATCCGTAGTTAAAAATCACTAATTAATAAGTTCAGTTCAGTTCAACTGAGTTCAATCAATCGAAACAGGCCCTTAATGTCCCATGGTATGTGGGAACTCAATATTCTTAGAAAGTTGCAATTCCATGTCAACTAAACAAGGTATAAAACTAAACAAGGTAGTAATTCCCAGGAATATCCAAAGAAGTGCCACTCTAGGTCGCGTCAAGATGATCTTCAAGCCCCCAAATTAATCCGGGATGATTTACGAAAGTATGGTTATTTTAAAACTTATTTACACTTTTGTGTCGGAATGAAACTAAATTACGAAATTACTGTCCACGTTGTTTTTATTTTATTTTTTTATATTTCAAAGTAAAACCGCTACCTCAAATAGCGGTTTATGTACTAAAACCGCTACTTGAGGTAGCGGTTTTACCCTTCATAAATTGATTAAATGTATCTTTACTTAGAGTACTAATGACAAACCGCTACCTCAGGTAGCTGTTTTAGACTATAACCGCTACTTAAGGTAGCGGTTTGTCTCTAAAGAAAAAATACCCCCAAATGTATCTCCAAGCCTACGTGGACTATATTTCGTAAATAAGTTTCATTCCAATGCAAAACTGTAAATAATTTTCTTAAAAAGCTATATTTTTGTAAATCATTCATTAATCCGTGAAGTGGAGCCTCCAACATCCAGATTAGAGCCTAAAAAAAAAGGGGGATAGTAATTAGGGTTTAGAGTGTTAAAAATAGATCTCTTTGGGGAAGAGAACTGGCTAGTATACTTCTGCTTCCAAGAGGTAATTATAGTAGTCTCATAGGCTCGTTAATGTTTTTAGGCCTTAATAGTGTAATAGAACTTTTAGTTACATCGGACCAAAACCGATGGTACATCTTGACCCCCAAACAGGAATTAGACGAAAAAAATAATACACGAGCTAAGAATAGGAAGAATTGAACAAGAGGGGGGAGAACAAAGAGCAATTTTTGTTTTTCTTGGTTTCAGCAACTCATGGAGATAGATAACAAGCACCAGCTTGAAATAGTTTTTAAAGGCAAAACTTTCTACCCACATCAATGTATCAGAAAATTTCCTAATAAGTTGAACCGTAACAAAGCAAAAAACTCCCTAACCCATCTGTACACAGCCAAAGTTTTAACCTGCAAGATTTACACGACGTCACCAGCATGTTAGACCCTCCTCAATCAGATCAGAATGTCACAGAATCCCTATGCATGGGCATATATACACAAATGGATATACACATGTCTGCCTCATATACTAAGAAAGACCATGACCAGTTAGCAGAAAAACATGGTATCCTTGACGTTTTTATGTAATCTGGGCAGTTCTGGGACAGGGATACTTCCTGTGGATGTGAAGCCATTGTTCTCAGTGCTGTTCTCAGGAAGCTCATCACATCTGACAATCTGTCCTACTTGTCGGGCTGCATGATGGGCGTAAGAGATAGGTGCCACTGCAAATAATAAAAAATAGAATTAAACATGATGAAATAAAACGCTAGCATAGATGGGAAATAGGCCATAATTTCAGGTCTGCAGTAGATAAAGCTGAACACACACAAACAACATTGACTCACCTACTGAGGTAGCATGAGAGCTCCTTTGATAACTGAAGTGAGGACAAAATTTCAGTATATAAGAAGCCAATTGATGCATAAAGTTTATTATTATTAGGAAAATGAATCAGTATTAGTAACTCACACATAGGATAAAGAGTGAATGAAATTTTGAAGCTCATTTGGTGAGAAACCGATCTCATCAAGCAATACATGATAGTGAACAGGCCGCAACGTACCCTTCATAGAAAACAAGGAGGAAACGAAATTCAATTAACCATATAAAGGAGAAGAAAACAAAGTGACAGAAACCTACCAAGTACCAAAACACACACTTGACCAGTTAACAAAGTGGCACACAGAATTTTGTTATCAGTGTGTGCACACATCTTAGTTTTAAAAGGCGCAAGGCGCAGATGGTCCTTGCAGCCTAGGCGCGAGGTGCAAGGCTAAGGTGCGCGCCTTTTGTATGCAAGGCGCATGTATTTATATTTATTTTTTACTTTGATTGTACTTAATACCAATTAAATAGATTCATAATAAATTAAATAATGATATATGTAAAGCTAAGGTAGTCTCAATTTGAAAAAATGTCCATCATTCTTCATTTTATAACTTAAATCTTAGTTGAGTTCCTTGAGATGCAAAGGCTCGCCTTACCAAAGGCACTTTGAGGCGCTCGAGGCGCGCGCCTTCCGTAGGTGATTGAGCCTCGCCTAGCTACAGCCCATTTCCCAGAGCCTCGGAGCAAGGCGCGCCCAAGGCGCGCTTTTTAAAACCAAGGCACACATTAGACACTCTGTGAACATGTTAACTTGGAATCCCTAACAAAAGTCAAATCTAAACAAAAAAATTCCCTTTAAAAATGAATTTACACTTAAAATTTCCCACAGTAATCATTATGAATCCTTTATAGTTGTAAATATAATTGTTTACATTTTTATGTAGTGCTGCTTCTCCTTGAAAAAATGGGGAAGTAACATACAAGAATTTTGTATGTTATGCACAAATTACTAAATTATTTATTTTTGTCATTGTTGATGGCAGTAATGGAACTGCAGTTTTTTTTATTTTTTATTTTTTTCAAAAAGAAAAACCAAGCCTAAGCCTGATGTATCCACAAAACAAGGGAACGCAAGGAGAAAGAATCCACCCAAAAAAAAAAAAAACTGCTGTATGTTAGGTTGATGGGAATGGCACCCTCATGGAATAACATGAGAGGAAAAGGAAAGCTAAGAGCTTACAATCATCCCCCCATGAGCACACATGTAGAAATCATACTTCCTTGGATGCACAACTTCAGTGTCCACAACTGTCCCTGCGGAGGGAGAGCAGTAATAGAAAAATGTGATGATATTAGCACAGTATAACAAATTCATCACAGTTGCATAAGGCATATTTAAAGAACAAAATGTCAAAACATATCACACCAGGTGGAACATTGCCAGCAGCCCCCACTTCGAATAGTCGGGTACGGTGTCTCTTTTGTGCAACAATTACTGTGAATTTTGGCATTTCTGCCTCTCCCAGACCCAGGTAAGCCTGAAATGAAAAAAAAAAAAAAAAAAAAAAAACACCAATTACTGAGGTACCGGTAATTAAAAGCTACCAACAATGGAGTCAACAATCACTTTCGTCCTTGAGAGAACGGCATGCTCTTATCTTGTTTAATGGAGCCAACAATCTCAAAAAGCCAGAAATTAGAAATAAATGTGAAGAGTTTTTTTTGTTAATGATCTAAAAACTTTTGAACAATAGGGTAAGGGCCATTAGGTTGAAATGCAAATTGGATTTTAGATCAAGGAAAAGAAACAAGCATAGGGGTTTGCTTGTGTTTTTCCAGTTAGCACAGAGGTGACTCAAAGGGCTAGATTTCAGCTGATTTCAATGGCAGATTGCCAGACTGTCAGCAGTGAGAACGGGGAGGGAACATCGAGGATGAAGAAACAGCTATCAAAGGAGAAAGAAGGTCACCAGCTAGATTTTCTTTTCCAATTTTGACATTATTGATTTCCTTTAACTATGCAAATGATAGCAATCTGGGATATGTGATGTAATGGCATTATAGTGGTGAACTTTTACAGTTTTCCTGTTTAACGAAAGTTGATTTTTTTTACTTTTTTTTGTTTTTACTTTTTCTCTCTCTTGCACTATAGACATCACAGTTTCATGTAAATGTTTAAATTCAGAGCATCACTAGATCCAACATAAACAAAATGTTAGTGGACCAACTCAACCAAAAGCTTAAGCTGATGGTTGAGGCCCAGGAATATGTTTTATACTCTATCACTCCCCCTCACATGAAAGGCCCTTTGGGCTTGAAATGTGGATGCAACACAGGCCCACCCATACCTGGCGCGAATTAATTCCACTTTGAAGGAAGGGCGGATGAGATTTGAACCCGTGACCTTTGTGTCACGCCGGCTCTGATACCATGTTAGTGGACCAACTCAACCAAAAGCTTAAGTTTATGGTGAGGACCAGGAATATGTTTTTATACTCTATCACTCCCCCTCACATGAAAGGCCCTTTGGGCTTGAAAGTGGATGCAACACAGGCCCTCTCATACCCGGCGCGAATTAATTCCACTTTAAAGGAGGGGTGGATGAGATTCGAACCCATGACCTTTATGTCACGCTGGCTCCGATACCATGTTAAAGGACCAACTCAACCAAAAGCTTAAGCTGATGGTTGAGGCCCAGAAATATGTTTTTATACACTATCACAAAATAATATTATAATTTAGAAGTGCAGCTTCAGCAACACTGATGAATAAGGTTCATTGGTTTCATTACCAATACAGGCCCAACTCTAAAGATTGCTTTTTCAACCTTTAACCCTTCAACTTTGCGTTTTTCTTAAAGCATATGTGAAACAGTTATTCTGATCATACAGCTACCTAGTACAAAGTAATAGTTTTACATGAGCTGGAAGCAACAAGTTCAATGGCCAGCTGGGAGACCAATTGAGAGGGAGTGATAAGATTTTGTAAATTTGAAACAGTCTATTCTGTGGGGAAAAAATTAAATGCTGTGATTCTGACAGCAGTTCAAGGATCCAGATACCCTTCAGAAACAAATCTGTTAAGAGTAGATCAATTAAATTTCAAATTAAGTCTAAGTTGCCATCAGCAGCAGTTACAGCTACAAAGGTAACAATTGATGTGATAGCATCTAGATAGTTGGAACATTTTGAAAATTAAAATGTAGGCTTGCCACAAGATGAACCTCGGTCAACAGCACTTCCTAAGTTTCTAGGTCAGTCCAGATGCGTTGATCCTAGTTGTGTGAGTTTTTAGTGCATGGGTATTTGTACGGAATTGATTTTGGCACACCCTTAATTGATATTGGCACACCTCCATATGAGAAGAGCATAAAAAACTGTGCTCTCACATAGGGTGTGCCAAAATCATTTCCCGTGTTTGTATTCCAAGTATTTGGTATTAAAAAAACATTACTTGATCACTACCCCAAATAATTGCCTCTAATATATCTGACAACTTGCAAAGCAGATAACAAATGAAATCATAAATATCCCAAATTTCTCTTCCCGTATCAGACATTGATTTAGACAATATCCAGTAATCTCAAACACCCTACTCCCCAAAACAAATACTACGTAGAAATCTTGTGCACCATTGCTCCATTTAATTTCCTTGAGCATCAAGATTGCAATCACCTTCAATAATTTGATGAAGTCTGAACTTGGAACAGCAAAAAAGTTTATTTCATATTGTCAGAGGTGACCGACTAATTAAGATTCTAATAAAGCTGGAAACCCTTGGTATTACTCTTGACTGTTTATATGCCTAATCATAATGGTTCAAGTGAAATGCACTTTAGTGACCCCTAACAAATGCATATAGAGTAGTATATTACAATCTTCTTTTCAGACTCTAGAAGATGACGTGCGTGAAGATAAATCCACTCAACACTTTATCCGCTTCTAGCTTGAAATATGTCAGCAACATTCACATCTAAGATATTATACTGCATGTTATCCTGTCAGTCTCTACGATGATTAAGAGTAGTAATAAAATTATAATGGAAAAGAAAACTTAAGTGAATAGAGAAAAAAAAAAATAGCATAAATGAAATTCATGGTCAGAGAGTACAATCATTTCTTAAAAGTTAAAATTGCCTCATCAAATTAAAAGACGTGCAACCTATAAAAACAAAGCAACACATTTATTGCAAAGTTAAGGAACCTGTTTTATCTGCTCCAGCTCAATGTCAAGGACTTGACTGAATTGCGAATCACTTACTCCATCCCTACAAAGTTAATAAACAATCATGCAACTATTAAAACCAGTAACAGTTAACGGTCTTCAATGGATATAGCACATTCTGATATATTGCCAAATAGAAAAAGCCTGTGGGTGACAAACTTTGCAGAAAGGTGTACGAGGCAGATAAGCACCTTACTAAAATTTCAGGTCTACAAAGGATTTTTTTGTTTTTTTCCAAACAATTGAAATTTTATAAGACCAAAGCAGATATATGAGGTGTATCATGTTGTTTTTGTTAATTTGATCAGTAAAAGAGAGTAGATAAGTACTTTGGATGTCCCAAGAAACCATATTCAAGACCAGATCCTTTCTCAAGGGTAAAAAAAGGAGCAACAGGAGAATCAAGGAATTATTACATCAACACCACTACCTGAAAACTATTATCTGTTTAGGTTTTCGGCCCTCACTTGTAACAAAGAAGTCCTTCAAAAGCTCCCTGAAACACAATGGGTAAGATCTTCAGCAATGCAACATAAACATCATCAGAAACTGATATTATAGAATTATTCTTCTAATAATGTCCCAAAAAACCAAAATTCCTCACAAAATACTGCTAGATAGAAATGACACTGAATTAAGACAATGTTACCTCATGATACCAGTATCCTCTCCACCATCTTGTGGTTTGAACAGTGTATCTATTATCTCAGTTCTTGGAGATTGAGCTCTTACAGCTGCTCTATATCTTGATATAAGGGGCCAATATACAGAACCAACAACCTGTCATTTGTCAGAAAGTGTGCATAAAGGATCAAAATAGCATGATTAATGTCTACCAAACTTTTAAATGTTTGACATGATAGAGCATGATACAAAACAAATTTGATATACAGCAACAGATATGGCCACAGAGAAAGGATAGCACTGGAATGCTCATATAATTTATTCTTAGCCAATAGTTACATACCGCAGCAATTGAAGGATCTGAACTGCCTGGCGAACCATGGGAGACATCCATACCAACGATCATAGTTGGAATATCCTTCACATGGGGAACATAACAGGGCTCTTCTATAGCCAATAAAGAATTCATACCTCCCAGCTAGAAAATGACATGGAAGGAAAATGAGACTTGTACAGTTATACATATGCAAACACATCTTGGCCCATTATTTCATGACAAACTCACCTTAGCATTGATTTTTATAAGTACATTTGTGAGATAACGTTCAGTTATTTTCACAGGGCAAACACATTGTGTTACAAGCCCAAAGTTACTCAAACTTCTCAGTTTCCAGGGTCCTACATTAAACAGAAAGTGTCAAGGGATTTAAAAGCCAGATCATGCATGAAGTAAAATGGTATAAAAGAAATATTCCAAAGAGTCTAACGAAAAGCAACACCATACCATATAAATTAGAAATTTTACGATCTGGCAATACACACAGAATGAATTCTGGTTGATCTGGGAGCTTATCCTGTAATTTCTCAAACATTGCATCAACTCTTGCCAAAGGGCTGGCTTTCTTCATCTGCTGATTCTCTTCAACCAATGCATATGGTCTTTCAATATCCTGATATGTTTGTAAAATCAGGGCAGAGAGAGAAAACTACCAGATATTCAAAACCAGAAGTTTAATAACATTATGATATTAACCTACCATGCCCTTTCTCCGTCCATAATTGATGAGTTCTCGAGAAAGAAAGCTTGTATCACAATTAGAAGAAAAGTTTACAATAGCCCAGCACTTAATATTAACAGGGTCCAGAAATTGCTGCAAAATAGCCAACAACCACATTAGCTATTGACCTTCTACATGAAAAAAAAAATCTAAAATAGCATAAAGAAAAACAACAAGAATAAGCGTCATCAATAAATGCCCTACTTTATTCTTAAAGTTCCATCGGCCATCTTCAGGCATGCAATCTTGACCTCTGCCGACCTTTAGCTGCACAGTATGCAGAAAAATAATGATAAAACTACCTCCATTGATATTTAGAGAGTCCAAAGTCTACAAGCCTGTAGTAAGGAATCATGAACCAAATACCTTAGGTGGTTCAAGGACACGGCCAGCAATTTGCATAAACTGCTTCTCAATCGAAATACCACAAGCAACCAGCAGTGGGTCATTTTCATACTGGTTGTTCTTCACAGCCTGCTAATCTATGTGACAATCAGATACAAACTAGAAAAATATGGATGCTACCTCGGTCAAGCTAGATGAAACTTACATCTGTCAGAGATTTCATTCGGTCATGGGGCTTTAGTTTGGTTTTTTCCAATAAAGTTATACGCTGAGTTGGAGACAGCAATTTTCGATAGCGTTGAAGAGAGATCAGTGAACAGACCTGGAATATTTAAAAGAAAACACCATAAAATTAATAAGCTGATCCATTAAGTTGTTTCATTTTGAACATAGAATTTACATAGGCAAGGAAAAAAGAAAAAAAACCAAAACAAAAAAAACAAAGAAAGAGAGAAACAAGTGACTGTTTGGGGGGGGGGGGGAGGAACACTTTAACGCACCTCAATTGGTAGATAGATTGGTTTATCTGGCTTGCCAACATCAAGGCAAGGCATGTATTTTGAAAAAGTTAGCACCACACCACAATGATTCCGGAAATATTCGAACACAGTCATCTCCTGGAATTGATCTTCATTGGAGCCACTATCCTTTTTTGCTTTATGTTGAAAACTTACAAAAAGATAAAGGAAATTTAGAGGTCAAAATTTAGGAAATATACATAGGAGTATGACAACCATCAAATATGGGTGTACCTTAGCTTGTAGCATGGCTTATCACTCAACCCTATAATTTTGTATATCTTGTTGGTATGACTTGTCTTGATTCTCAAGTTTTTCAACATTCTTTTGGCCTGCAAAGATCCATAGCATCAAAATACAAAAACCACAAAATCAAAAAACAACAAAATGAATCAGAGAATGAAATGCAATGTTACCTTTTCCCAGTCAATGTAGCGAGGCTCTAGCACATTTTGGTTAGTTAATAGAAAATCAAGAATAGGTCCAGGTTTCAGAACTAAAGTCATAGCAACATCTGCATACAAATTATTTTTCTGTCTGTTACAAACACAAGCACAATAACTGAAACATAAGAAATAAAAGGAGGAAAATACAGAATTTTAGAACCTAAATTCAGTGACAATCCTGCACTTGTCATGTGAAAACTAGAATCAAACCCACGCAAACCAACTAAACCTCCATCAATCTCAAAGAAGTTCCTGGAGTCATCATGGAAAAACGACTGCCTAACCAAAAGGCAACCCCTGAAAATAATAGCCAAAGAAAAATAAAACTGTAGCTAACTGAACAATGACCAAAAAAAAACACACACACAGTTAATGAAAGAGAGAGAGAGAGCGAGAGAGAGAGTACTTATTGATAGCCCGTTGCCTCAGTATGGTATTGATCACCCTTAATGCATCCTCAGTTTCACATAGGTTATGCTCTTCATTATTTACAGCAACTGGTTGCACACCAATTTCACGGCAATAGTTGAGCTCCACCGTAAAAAGCTTTGGTGCCAAAGAATGTTTAGATTTCTTCGTGGGTTCACTGGGGTTATCAGCACTACAAATAAGCATACATTAGTGTTAGCCCTGTTAGGGACATTTTCTCCAAGCCATATTTCAGAGCGAGAGAAAAGAAACAAGTGGTTACCTCAGTCCAATCGACTCTTCATACATCAAAGTTAAGTCATAGGTTTTCTGAGGTAGAGGACCAACAGTATACAAATTCTCCTTTCCATCAAATGCAAATTTTTTGGCATCTAGTTTAGATGAGTGTTTCTGGAATAGCTTATCGATAATTTTTACGCAAATCGACTTGCTGTCAATTGGTTTACAGTCTTCAGAAGTTATCTTAACCTGCAAAGGCAGCATAAGACTGTAAAATTTCCAATCCACATTTAAAGTCCATGATGGCACAGTAGAGTGCAACATATTTACCGAATACTGATAAAATGCCACATCTGGAGATTCAACAGAAACTTTCAAATGATTCACAAGCAGGGATATGTGACGGCCAGCACTCCCAAAACCTGGTCTGCGCATAATCTGGTGCTTTGGAGAGTCCATCTCTGTCTCTATCTCTATCGCTGTTTCCGTCTCTATCTCTGTCTCTGTCTCTATCTTTGTCTCCATATCCATTCCCATCCCATCAAAGCTTGCAAAGGGTGGAAGATCTGAAGGAGGTGAAAGTTGCAAATGATCTGACTCCAAATTCTGTCTTTCAATCATGCTAGTAAAATCATCGCATATTTTAGTACCAAACATCAACTCTAAAGAGGATTAAGAATATAGACCAATAAAATCAAGTATACTGAGCTCATTAAAAAAAAACATGGCATTATCAGATTCAGAGACTGCTAAGATAATGCATCTACGATTAAAGATGGAAAAAGTCTTATTATGAATAGCAAACAAACATCCTCATATATTACGCCAATCAAACTGTCTTGACATTCCAACCAAACTAAAGTCTTGATATTGGGCAGCAGTAACAAAAGATATCAAATTGAACTGTGTGCTCAACATTTCAACAAGACTAAAGTCCGAAAAATAAAAACTTTCCAACATCATAGGGCTAATGCAACGGAAAAACTCAGGTTAACTTGAGGTAAAGCATAAAATCATAAATCATCATTGTCACTAAAGCTATTAAGATAAATAAATTATAGCTTCCAGGTTTACGAGTGTACCGGGCTATCAAAATGATATCCTTCTTCCCTATTCCTAAAGTTTAGTATCGTGTTTGTACTTCCAACATTGCAAAACCCTTTCAATTTCCATTTGCATTGTGCTCTATACAAGAAATTCATACGTAGTGTATACTTCATATACATTTGATGTTTCCAGAATTCCAGGCTTTCAACCCTTTGACTTAAATTTAAACAAAAATGAACCCGCTCAAACGAATACGAAATAAATCAAAATAATGAATTTACCAACTGCCACACTTAACATACAAAACGGAGCTCAAAATCATAGAGAAAATTATACATTTGATGTTCCAACCCTTATGAACAAAATTCATACAGAAATGAACCCGCTAAAACAAATGCGAAATAAATTAAACAATGATTTTAAATAATTGTCACACTTAACATACCAACAAAAATGGAATTCAAAACCATAGACAAAATAACAAATTATTATTATTTCTACATTTATAGTAGGGATTCATGCATGTGAATTTAAAGCAAATGAGGGTTCAACTAAACCCCCAATTTTGAAATTTTTTGGGTTATAAACCCTAGTTCAAAGATTGAACATCATAGATAGAAAACAACAAAGATTAGAAGCAAAAATTAAGACGAAAATTCACCTGAGAAGAGGCCAGAACAAGCAATTTCTGGGAAATTGTTTGAATGAATTTGATCGAAAATTGAAATGGATGAAAGTGAAGAGTAATGTAGGACTGTACGAGTAGGTTTTAATGCATGTGTTGTATATTCCTACTCCCAAAGTAAGCACAAAGAAAAAATGTAGAGATGAAGTGAGTCTAAATTACTCTGCACACTTTGATTGGGGAAAGAGAGAGGGGGAAAGAGAGAAAAAGAGAGAACATTGGAAAAACGTTTGAAAATGGAGTATGGTTTAGCTTAGGGCTTGATTGGCGTCGTTTTTTGTTTTGAGGCCGTGTTTGATAATTAGTTTATTCGAGCAAAATTAGTTTATTTTATTAACATTAATTTATTGATTATTAAATAAATTAATTTAAGGTGTTTGGTGGAAAGTTTAAGGTCTGTTCACATTTACTGAACTGAATTGAACTGATTGGAGCTAAACTGAACTGTACTGATTGGAGCTGAAATAAATATTTTATGAGAGAGGAAAATTAGGAGTTGAACTGAACTGATTTGGAGTTGAACTGAACTGATTAAGGGCCTGTTCTCTTACGTTGAAATTCAGTTCAGTTCAGCTCAGCTCAGTTCAGTTCAGCTCCTAATTTCCTTCTCTTATAAAATATTCATTTTAATTCAGTTTAGCTCAGTTCAGTTCAATTTAGTTTCAGCTATGTTCAGTCAATAATGAGAATAGACAAAGCTGAATTGAAATTAAGTAAATATGAATAAGCTTTTATTTAAAGAGTTTATTCCACTAAATAAGCTTTCAATTAGCTTATTTAATTCTTATGGTGAAATTACTCTTATAGCCCCAATTAATTTAAAAACATACTTCGTATATGAACTACCTACCCCAGCTAATTGGTCATTTCACATAATCAATGAGCGTTAAACAATTAGCTATTTACCAAACACTTTTATACAAACAGCTAATAAAATAAGTTAGCCAAATCAGTTAATATAATCAGTTAATTAAAATCATCTAACACAATCAGGTTTAGCTTTTAGTTAGTGTTAAGGTTTTCGAGGGGGGTGGGGGAGGAGGGATGGCCAAACTTTTTCGGTGAATTTTATGGGTTTTCGAGGGGGTGTAGAGGATGATCAACAACGTGAGAGGGCGATCAACAACCTATTTCCGGCAGTGGGTGTCTTTTTACATCATTTTTTAGTTTGGGTGTTTTTTCAGCATTTTATATTGTGGGTGATTTTTCACAAAAAAAAAATAAATAAATTAGTGGTTGGTTTTGACAAAATTTCCTATTTTGTATTTCATTGGAATTTATTTCCTTCATGCAATTCCTATGAAATGGTATTAAGTTATTTGGTTCTTATAAAAGACTTTAAAATCCATGGGAATTTTGAGTGATCAGAGGGAAGGTATGTAATTGATTTCCCATGTTTTTATGGGAAGTCAAGATTCCCATAAATTTCCAACTATTCCTTTATTTTTACTTTTTATTATAAACCAAACAACTACCCCATTAGCAAATTCCCATGATTTTCATTTCCCACATTTTGAAGATTAACCAAACAACACCTTATTATTATATCTACATTTATCTCTAAACAAACAGCGGTTAATCAAGCAATAATATATCGTGACAAAAGTAAGCGTAAGCCTATTTATGTGTTTTTTTACCAAAAAAATATGTTCGTGTTGCATATATTTAGCCTTTTGGAGTAAAATAAAAATAAAAATTTTAAGGGTAAGCTAATTCAAGTTTAAAAAAAATTAAAAAAAAAAAATATCAAACTACGTCAAGTAAAAAAAAAAGTATGAATCAAACATAAGTTACAACAGTAAAATCATCACATGTTGAATTAAGATGCAAACAAAACATAGGTTATATTAGTAAAATCATCGTATATTCCCTCCGTTATTAAGATTAAGCCTTTTGAAGTATGACATCATATTAAGTGTGAATAAAAAAATTATTGGAGACAAAATACAAAAGAGAAAGAGAGAGTTTTCAAATTTTGACAACCTCGATAAGTGATTGCCTAAATGAAGAAGTTAGGTTTATGGTTGGCTAGGCAATATGCTTGATATCCAACTATATGCTCTAATAAAAACACCAACAATACATTCAAAACTGTTGTTAACTAACTAATAATTTTCTTGTTTTAGGGCACCAAATTAATTAGTGTATTATCTAGTAACTTGTGAATATGCAATATATTATCGTTTGAGCATGGCCAATAGCAAGCAACTAAAGGTTGTTGATTTGCTTTGCAACATATCCAACATAATGTTGTAGTTTTTGGCGGGCTTCAAATGATAATTTTAGAGTTAATTAGTATGTGGGTATATTAGCGGATTCCACACTATATTTTGTTTCTGATTGTTCTGAGAATGAGTATAAGTATGATTTTGCTTGGTGGGTAGTGGGTGGATATGATCATGTGGATATTGAAACTCAAAAGTCATACTCGTCATAAATAGTGGGTAGGTAGTGAATTTGAAATCATACATACCCCATATCTCGAAATTCAAAAGTCATACTCGTCATAAATAGTCGCTAGATAGTGAATTTGAAATCTTACCCATCCCATAGCCACCCACTCACCCCATATATTCATCAGTTAACCTAATCCCCACCTTATATCACGCATACTCGTCATAAATAGCAGGTAGGTAGTGAATTTGAAATCATACCCATCCCATAACCATCCACAATGGTAAGCTACAAGATACAATAGTACAGTGTAATTTCATTGATTTACAAAGCAAGAAAACACAACAAATCTACAAGCATGCGACCCATTTCCAATAATTTCAACCATCAACTTGTCCCTCATAAATTGTGAACCTATGTAGTTTCACAAAATAACAACGTTCTACATTGTACTAAGCAAAGTTTGGTGTAGTTTGTGACGAGTATAATTCACCTTATAACCATGAAGTCACAAGGTTAAATCTTCCAAGAGGTACTTGGAGGTGAGAATCCCTCACCCTTCCTATTCCCCTTCATTTCCAAATGCCTGATATGCATGTATTAGACTAAAAAATCGCGTGAGTTGGTCATTTTCATTTTTTTAAAAACAGTTAGTTAAAATCTTCGCTCAACATGATTTACACATCAAAATCAATAATTAAATCTATTTCGTTTTAATCAAATCACGCAAAGTCAAATCACAGATTTTATCCGTATAAAGTTAGCCTCCAAACTTCGTAGACCGTAGTACCTCCTCCTTCTAGTAGTAGTAAATTCAAACATACCTGTATGCATGAGTTAGGTACATGATGAAGAAGATCAAGTAAAAACGTTTGAGAAGAAGGAAACACAAGGACACATACTCTAGATACCATAGATAGAAACGTGGGCCAATATAGTTCTCATAAATAGATAAAATTCCTCAATAAATCAAAACAAAAATACTCTTAATACTATAATCAATAATAAATCGATCTCATTCTCATTCTCATTCTCCTCTTTTCCTTCTTCCTACTCTCCTTTCACCGCTTCACAACCACAATCACAACCAGAGGAGAGAGAAAATCACCATCAATGGAGGAGAGAGAAAGCTCCATTGGAGGCGCCGCCGGAGTTGCTGGTGGTGGTGCTTTGGTTCCGGCGGTCAAGCCGTTAACGGTCGTAGCTCCGGCGCCGGAATCCTCCATCGCCGCCGATGAATCGGAGGTTTCTCCGACGGAATTGGACAAAGATTTGATGTGTCCGATTTGTATGCAATTGATTAAGGACGCTTTTCTTACAGCTTGCGGACATAGTTTCTGCTACATGTGTATCATCACTCATCTTCGGAATAAGAGTGATTGTCCTTGTTGTGTTCGTCATCTTACGAATAATCAGCTTTACCCTAATTTTCTGCTTGATAAGGTCAGTTTTTGTTCCTAATTTGATTGATTTTTGAGTGAAGAATGTTGTTGATGATGAATTATAAGTGTTTAAAGTAAAGAAGATGATGATAATAGTGTAATTGTCAAGTTTTTATTGTGGTTACTTGAAAATTTGCAGCTTATTGTTGTGTATGTACGATTTATTGCCGCATTTGTAGCTATTGAAGAAGGCTTCGGTTCGTCAAGTGTCGAAATATGCATCGCCGGTTGAGCAATTTCGCCGTGCGTTATTGCAGGTCAGTTATTGTTATGCTTATTTGATGAATTTGGTTTGTGGTGGAATTTTCGGATGGTGTAAACTTCAACATATATGTGTTGATAGTGTATAAGTTCTGCAAGCAATTACTTTGCAAATGTATGCACAAATTTTCAAATGACCGTACATTGAAGTTGTTAATGCTGTATAAATTGCCATTTTATGTGTGTGATGTTGTTTTGGTACGAGTGATCCGGTCATTCTGAAGAACAAACTGTGGCAGTAATATGATAATATCCTTGACATGTACAAAGGTTCTTTACATAAGAGTCACAAGGATAAAGTGGTTTTTTTGTTGGTATTGCAGTGATAGAAAGAGTGGTAGTGGTATGAATTGATAAGAAGATTGTGAAAATGGAACAAAGTTCAAATGACCGTGCATTTCAGTGGTCGATTCTATATAAATTGCCACCTTATGTGTGATGTTGTTGCAATAAGACTAATCCGAACCATTCTGAAGAATTATATGTGTTAGGAATGTCCTTGACGTGTACAAAGTTTGTTTGCATAGGAGCCACAAGGGTATAGAGGTTTATTTTTTTTTTTTTTTTGGGTGAAAGTAGGTAGAAAATAGTTGTTGCAGCGATAGAAATAGTGGTAGACTGGTAGTTGTATGAATTAATAAGATGATTTGGAAAAATGGTCAATTGTAGACAATGATTCATGAAGGAACAGAATGAGGAAATATAAGGAGAAACTGTAAAAATTTTGAAGGAAGGCTTTTTTGAAGTTTGTATTATTTGTATATGCTCACTGCCTTTCAGTTTATGGAAATTCGAAGTACTTGATAATTGGAAGTGTCTATGCAGTTTTAAAATTGCTTGTTAATAGCAGGATTAAGTTAATGACAGTACATAAGACTTTGCTATAAATAGTACATTTATGTGAGTAACATGTCTGCCTTATGTTACTTGGATGGAACAAAGATTGTATTTTGGAATGGGGCAAATAACTTAAAAATTATGGGAAATTGTTGTATGTCAAATGTCATGCTATTGGACAAGTTTTCTTCTGACCTTGTCCTGTTCTTGACACTCTTTCAGCATATATGTTTAAAGGTTTTCTTCCACTTGAATCTTAAATGTGGTTATGTTTCGTAGTCAGGGTTGTGAAGTGTCAGTCAAGGAGGTGGATGCCCTTATGTCACTTCTTGCAGAGAAGAAGAGAAAGATGGAGCAAGAAGAAGCTGAGAGAAACATGCAAATTTTGCTGGATTTCCTGCATTGCTTGAGGAAGCAGAAAGTTGACGAGCTCAGTGAGGTGTGGCTTGTTTTCCAAGATTTAACTGTGTTGATTGTCAGAATAGTAATCTGATTTTAGCCTTTGGCAGAGTGGCAGAAACTGATGCTGTATTTTATATTCATGGAATATCATATAATAAATTTTCTTGCTTTCCAGATTCAAAATGACCTTCAGTACATTAAAGAGGATATCAGTGCTGTGGAGAGGCACAGAGTGGAGTTATATCGAGCAAGGGACAGGTACTCTGTAAAACTGCGAATGCTTGGTGATGATTCTACACCAAAATTGTGGCCTTCAACAGCTGATAGGAGTAGTGGGGGTGTTTCCTCTGGTTCTCGTAGCTCATTAGGAGGGTTGGCTACAGGAAGTTTCCAGAACAAGAAGATGGATGCAAGGGCTCAAGGCTCCCATGGGACTCAGAGAAAGGATGCTCTGAGTGGTTTGGACTCACAGTACATAAGCCAGTCAGGTTTGGCTGTGATGAGGAAAAAAAGGATACATGTGCAGGTCAGTTATCATTTATGTCTAATTTCAATGTATAAGATATGATCTGTAGAATAGGAAGTGTATTTTTAATGGTCTTCATATTAAGAACTTCCTGTTAGCAAGAAAGATTTTCTATTGCCTGTGGGTGTGGGCACTTTTATGTGTGTTTTATTTTGTTGGCTTTTCAATGATTTTGTTGTACAATATGTACCATCATCATTTATGCTAGAGCTTATTCACACTTGTACATTCATGTGAAAACCCAATTAATAAGATTCCCCCTTTTGTGAACCCCCAACTTGGTGCTTGTTGTATGCTTTACCTTATTTAACAAAGTGTTGTCATTAAGTAACTTTTACGAATCTTCTGTTCTCATGGTTACAGTTTAATGACCTGCAAGAGTGTTACTTGCAAAAACGACGCCAATTGGCTGGCCAGCCCATCAGACAGGATGAGAGGGATCCAAATTTTACGCAGAGAGAAGGCTATAGTGCAGGTCTTGCTGAGTTTCAATCTGTACTGTCTACCTTCACTCGTTACAGGTTCAATTTTCCCCCCTTCTTTATTTTATTTTTAATTTAATTTTATTTATTTTTTCACTTTCTAGGATAATTAAACTGATGTTCTTGTACTATAGCACTTTCTGACATAAATTTTGAACTTATGGTTTTATGTGAAACAGTCGTTTGAGAGTTATTGCTGAACTCAGACACGGGGACCCTTTTCATTCTGCCAATATCGTATCAAGGTGAACTTCTGATCATTATTCTCTTCCTTATGTGATATCATTGTTGCGTTTGGAATCCATTGCGAGTGGGAGGGTTTGGGAAGAAGATTTATTCATGCTAGTACGACAGTTTGTAGCAAAACTGTATCACCTTCAATTTTTGGCTTCCGGGGCCCATTAGGAAGCGTGGTGAGAAGAGGAGAATCATGCCAATGCTAAATGCATACTAATGTTGGGGTACCTTGTTGGTATTACTTTATTACATTGATTCAACAAGGTAACCCAACTTTGCACGTTTGCTGATCAATACAATTCTTATTAGCAAATGGGCGACTGGCCATCGTTTTTTTGGTGATGAAATAGAACTCGCAGTCCTATATTGCATGTATTTGCTCAATTTAACATGTGTATTTGTCCCAAGTCCGGCACTTGATCATTTTCAATTGCTTTTTGGGTTTTTGGGCTAAATTGAAGTGGCTCTGGTCATATCTGTTCACTGGGTATCTGACATGAATGTTTGATGCGAAAAGAAGTTTTCACTTTCCATGTAGCATAGTTGACAACTTGACATTAACCTCTAGTCACCACCTAATATTAGGGTTGGCTAGAGCCTAGAGGTTTCTTGCAAACAAACTATTCTGAAAGAGAGAGGAAGGAGGAAGAAAGTATTGTGATAAGGTGGCTTTTGCATGTTTCCCTTTAAATTATTTGGCCCATGACTGAAATCTTGACTGATATATCCAAAAAAATGTTTCTCTTATTACAGCATAGAATTTGACCGTGATGATGAGCTGTTTGCTACAGCCGGAGTTTCCCGAAGAATTAAAGTCTTTGACTTTTCCTCGGTAAGCTGATTCTAAATTTTATAGCTTCCTTTCAATGTGCTTAGAAATAAGCAAAACCTATATACATTCATGAAAGCAATTTCAGAGATAGTCTTCACATTGGGGTGTTCTATGGACTCTCATATGTTGAAATGCTGTCCAACTGTTTCAGTGGTCTAGCAGTAAAGTTCACCTTCAATTTTTTCCTGAAGCTTTAAAGATGTGCAAGTGGGTGGATTTTTTTGTTGGGAGAGAGGGGTTCCAGAGGTGATACAGAATTGATAATTACATGTCTGTGGTCAGTTATTTTAATTGGGTTCTGTCTCAAGTTTCAACCCTTGTGGTTGAATTACAACCTTAATTGGGAGTCTGAACTAGGAGAAACCTCTCTTTCTTGTCTTTCTTTCATATGACTGCATGGTTCCCCTTGTTGATAGAGCTTCATCTTTTATAACCATTAATTTGAACCAATTTAGCATAAGTAAGCATATTAAGTCGGGTTTACTGTGTGGTAAAGTGACTTGGGGAAGGTGTAAAGGAGGAGCTATACTTTCCAAGCTCTCATCTTATGTAAGGCAGTAACTATACTAATGATGAAAATTAGAAGATGGAAAACTGGTTGCTGCTTCCATGTTCTCCTGGGGTGTCAGAGGTTTGAACCTGGGGGGGGGGGGTTGTGGAAGGTATACCGAGCACGGTGACATCATCAAAATAGTTAAAACTTATGAATAGTTCTTCCTTTTCAGCTGCACAAGTCAATCTAGGATTTGTTATTGGTCATTTCAGAATGGATCAGGTTTTTACTTTGTTTAGTATAAACTGGAGTGATCTTGTAGCTCTATTATTTGTTATTGGTCACTTCTAAATTGTATTATTTCAGTTTTTGTCTTCTATATGTGTCATTGATGCAGACGTTCAGTCACCTGGTTGTATGGATCCGAATATTGGCTAGACAATGTTATTTGTCTCTTTTTAGATTAACTGTTGACAGGTTGTTTTTTCCTTTGCATTCCAGGTTGTGAATGAACCTGCAGATTCACATTGCCCTGTTGTTGAGATGACAACTATGTCCAAACTTAGTTGTTTGAGCTGGAACAAGTTTACCAAGAACCAAATAGCTAGTAGTGATTATGAGGGAATCGTTACTGTATGGGATGTGACGACACGCCAGGTAACAAACAATAGTAATCTTCTCAAATTTAATATCAATTGCTTTGTCCTACTTTTCTTTTATACATCTTTCTCCACGTCACCATTTTGTGCACCTGTTCCTGTAGAGTGTGATGGAGTATGAAGAACATGAAAAGCGGGCATGGAGTGTTGATTTTTCATGCACAGAACCTTCAATGCTCGTGTCTGGCAGTGATGACTGTAAGGTATTTGAGTTTGTTAAGCTTTTTTATGTTTACTTTGTATTGCATCTGAAATCATTAGAGAGATATTCGTATTTTTGTAGAATAAGGCAGCAAAATTGAATTTCTTTGGTAATTACTGTTGATGTTCTGTTGTGTGCATGGGTACTGTATATGGAATAGTGTTATAAGGCTGAGATCATTGCCTTCAGGCTGGTTAGGAGTGGCATTATTGTTGAGTAATATATGGTCACGTAACAAGCCAGTTTTTGAGCTTTTTGGTTAACTTCAGCCTTTCCAGAAGGTCAATATAACTGTTTCCTGAAGGTCAACCTTTATTACCATTGGTAGCTTTCAAATACTGGATAGGCTGTAGGGTTTTTTCGCCTTGATAATGACATTCTTGGAACACCCCTTCTCTCTCATATAATAAAAATTAAATAGGCAATTATTGAATAAATAATAGTTCAAAGTTTTGACCAGTTGATATTTTAATACAGCCTTCCCTTTTGATTTCAGTTCTCTGTTCTTTTGGTAATTCTTACTTGTATTTGTTATTGAGAATCATTATTAGAAAAGTTAAGTTCCTAAAATTTTTGGCTTATTGAAACCTCTAATGTAAGGACTTAAGAGAACATTGTATTTAAATGAAGCTAGTCTATTGAAGGGATTGCCTCACTTTTCTGCAATTTATGGATGAATTTAAAGGTGTATATCCTATTCCATTTCCTTGTACTTTGGAGTTTAACCCTTTAGTGTGCTTGTTTGTATCCTTTTCTGCATTTTCACTTAAAGGACCCTAGTTTTATCAGTTGTAAACCTATAACTGACGCATCAGAATCTGGTTAGTCATCCTTTCTTTCACAAGGTCCTTTTAGAATCTTTTTGGGATCTGATCTTGTTATTCTTATGGAAATAGAAGTCACCTGTAAATAAGATAGTTGCACATGAGAGTTGATGGATTTGGCTGGTGTTCTGTGAAGGATGGTGGTGAAATACTGGTGACAGGGAGTCTGAGATCTTTTAGGACGCTTTCAGATGTATACTTAAGAGACTGAAACCATGTCTCCTGCTTTGCTGCATATATTTTTTTTTTTCTTTCCAAATTATCATTTATTGTTTCCATATGGAGATTTTTGTACTCATTATTTATAATTTTCTTAGTACTTGACAATAATAGTCCTAGTGAAGGAGCTACACTTTTTCTGGGAAGCAAATGACCGAGTTTAGTGAAGAATAATTAATGTGCTGAATAAAGCTACTTTTAGCAAGTCCACTAAGAAAAAGCCGAGTGTACATATATGCATATTCAATTTTTGACTCTTGTCATTAATTTATTTTGTCTGGTAAAGCGCTTTCTATCTATGCATCTTGACATTATTCATAGGCTGTGTTTATGGCCCTGGATATACTAAGTATCCGAGGGACGCAAAATGCATTTTGGGATTAGGAGAAAAAAAAAAGAGAACTACTCATATTCAGGCTGAATATTATGTACTGAAGATTAAAATCTGGATGTTCTGCTCAGTTCTCTATCTTTCGCTTTCAATTTTCAAAGACATTTATTAGTTGCAAACCAACACATATATTATCTATTTACAATGAAGCTTATTTACGCGAGAAGAGCTTGAAATTTGATTGTTACTTTGATTGACAGGTAAAAGTGTGGTGTACAAATCAGGAAGCTAGTGTGCTTAATATTGAAATGAAGGCAAATATATGTTGTGTCAAGTACAATCCCGGATCCAGCTATCATATTGCGGTAAACATTTTTTAATCACTTCCCCTCAATCATTCTTTAATATATTAGCTGTTGAGTATCCTTCTTTCTTGGCTCCTTTTGTGTGAGAAATTTGCTTGAAATTAATCAATGTTTTTGTTATGCTGGACATTTTCCGCTTGTACGAATGCTTAGACTGTTAACATTATCTCTGTTATGCAGGTTGGTTCTGCTGACCATCATATCCATTACTATGATCTGAGGAATATAAGCCAGCCCCTTCATGTGTTTGGTGGACATAAGAAAGCGGTTTCATACGTCAAATTCTTATCAAATAACGAGCTTGCTTCGGCTTCAACGGACAGCACATTGAGGCTGTGGGACGTGAAAGATAGTTTACCAGTAAGTCTCTACAGTTTCTATTTTGTGATGGTAATTTGGTAACAAAAAGTTAGAACAATGAAGATATGGAAAATGAAAATTCTGGACTTTAATTGATATCATTTTTGATTGATATCATATCATGCTTCTTTGGTATTGATCCAAAATTGTAGTTTTATTGGTGCATGAAATTGGGAAGTTGTTTAGTTGGATAATAGAACTCAACCGGCATGAATAGTTGAACCAATTACTTAACTGATTCTGAGGATGAAGCTAACTGAATTACTTAATGCTGCAAGTTGAAACTGATAGTTAATTTGGGATAAAGGAGAATGGTTCTTTTAGGCTAAGAATGGGAGGAAAATTAAAGATTATTCTGAGCTGTATGCCTGTATGGTTGTTCATTCACGGTCCTGAATGCTTTGTCCTACCAAGTGCTGTAAAATGACATTTAGCGCTCCTTGACCTGGACAAATTTAACTAGAAATGACAAAGGTAGAAAATAACACTGGCAAATTTTTTTTCTAATTATTATTGTTGTTTTATAAATTTAAAGAGGGAAAGGTGGGGGGAGGGGTTAAGCAAGGGCGAAAAAAAGGAAGCGATTGGGCTGATGGTGGTGGGGCTGTTAACAGGAGGCACAACATATAAATCTTTGATAGCTTTTGAACCCCCTGCGGTGCTTCAATGCTTTACTTTCAGTTGAGCTATTTGTGTACTTGGGATTAGTTTTGTGTCAATATAACAATAGTGTTTTGAAAGAGGGATGGGATGCAGGACTTTGATGAAAAGGACTTTTATTTGGGCTAAGCTATTCTATTCATGCTTATTAGGATTCAATTCATGTCATATCAACTGTAGTGTTTTGTAATAGGTTGGTTGGTAATTTATCATTATTTTTAAATTTTGCTTAGTGCATCAGTGTACGTCCTATCACGACTTTTTTCCTTTAGTTGTCCATTTGACACAACTTTTTATATATTTCATGATCATCAGTCATCTTTTAAACTAAAATTGCAATGAATTTTGCAGGTTCGGACATTTAGAGGTCATTCTAATGAGAAGAACTTTGTAGGCCTCTCTGTAAGCAGTGAATACATTGCCTGCGGTAGTGAAACTAATGAAGTGTATGTCTATCACAAGGTTAGTACGCAAATATAAATATGTCGTCTTCTATGAACTGCTGAGCTCTGACGATAATATCAGCTAATTGTGATCTATAAATTACCAATTTTTTTATAGGAAATTTCTAGACCTGTAACATGTCATAAATTTGGGTCACCGGATGTTGAGGATGCGGACGAAGATCCTGGAGCATATTTCATCAGTGCCGTATGCTGGAAGAGCAATAGCCCTACATTGTTGACAGCCAATAGTCAAGGAACAATCAAGGTGCTAGTGCTTGCTGCTTAAAGTGCACCTAGTTAAAACACGCCTGAATTATTCACAGTTTTTTTTTTTTTTTTTTTTTTTTTTTTTTTCCATTGTGGGTTTTAAGATCATTCTCTTGTATATAAAATATAACATATTAGTCACATGGAATATATTGTGTAGTGAGATATCTATATTTCTTACATTATGTAAATTTGTATGTCAACTATTAGAGGGATGCAGACTTTGTGGCTCGGATTATGCAACACTCCGGTCACTTGCGGGATGAACCTATTTCCAATGTATTAATTATTACATACACAAAATATCAAATAGTTTAAAGTAAAGTAACGGGATATAATTATTTTTGCACTCTACAAATTTTTACTGTATCAATGCATAGACTATAATTTTTCACACGAGGTAGTATTGAAACTTGAAATTAGTACAAAAGCTTATGAAAACAGTTTCTCATCTTTATTCTTCGACTTAATTTTGTTGAGCAAGTGTATTTTTATGGTCTGTATTGAGCAAGTGTATTTTTATGGTCTGTATTGAGCAAGTGTATTCGTATACACATATCTCAAGCATCAACCAAAGGAGTACAAATATAAACACACAATAGGGCGTGCATCCATGAAATAAACACATGATCGAATTCATACGTGATGCACCTAGGAACCACCTAAGGTCCTAAGGATGCATTTTTTTTTCGTGTATAAGATTGAAGTTCGTGTTATTCCAGTTTCGCGTATTGAAGTTATGTTACACTGCAAAACGCGATTTGTGCAACAAGTCGCTTCTTTTTTAGTATAGTCTATATATTCGTCTTATCAGGTAGATTTTATTAGATAAATATAGAAGTCCAGTTTTGCAAACTCATCTGAAAATGGTACGAGTAAAAACGTAGAAACAAATCTGAATAGTCATTTTCTGGTAGCAAATAAAAGTCACAGCACTAAGAATAGAAATTTTTTGTGTCTGTAACATGGAGTTTTACGAAAAAGGTTGTTTCTTTGTCCTTCAAAAGTTGTACAAAAAAGGAAATATTTTTGCCATTATCATCATTCAAATACCAATTATTTCTATTTATAGTTATTCGGATCATAGCATTGGCAAATTGACATACCTTTAAGGTGTTACTTTATTTTTTTTCTTTCATTTTTTGTTTTCTTTCAATTTGTACGTTTTTACTAAGATATGCTCAATTTTTAGCCATTCGAGAGAAGATAACCTATTTTTATCAAACTATCAAGGGTCATAGACTTGATCGGTTCACAAATGTTATCCCCGGGTATATAATAGACATGTGTCTTATTAGTAGCATTGTAAGATCTATACATATTCTCTCACCCACGTTAGTAATCATAACTGCCACTTATTATTATTGCATTACTTGCAGCAACTCAGCAAGTATAACTTTTGGAAAGTCAAGTCATTATTATATCACAAGTACTCATTATAATTGCGTTGTAAGGATAATAAATTGATAAAATTTACGATAATAAATACATTTAATTTGTTTAGATATAAATTGTTGCACAAAGCACTGAAAAAATATAACTAAACGAAAATTATAAAAAAAAACGTACCTCAAAAAAAAAAAAGTGAGTAGGGCAAATGCAAACCCTAGTTCTCTTGTAGTACATATTATGCAACATATATATCATCAACCATGAACTTAATTATTCTAAAAATGTAATACTTGTATTAATCTCACAATTATAAAGTACATGAATAAATTTCACAAAAAAAAAAAAAATACATAGGAAAAAAAAATCAAATTTGTTAGAAAACAACTACAAGAAAAACACAAGACATATAGAAGTATATGTATATAGCTCAAGAGGGATAGACGGGGGAGGAGAGCATCCACGGACAAAGAGTGAGAGTCTTTGACTTTTAGCCTTTGAAAGAGCGTAGAGAACTGGTAGAGATTAACCCCCACGTCCCTGGACTTGCAAGGTCAAGAAAAGTCAAGTGATGTTCGTGGGGTTAGAAGCAGAGGAGAAGACGGGTAAGAAGACTAAGCTCAGGAGAGATATCGCCGAGGCCATTATCATGGCAAGTTTATTATTGTAAGTAATAGTTGATGGGTGATGATCAAAGGAGAGAGAAAGTAAGAAGAAGATTTGATGATGAAGAGATAGGGTTTGGCTCTAAGGGAGGAGCCTGGACCTGATGAAACAGGAGGCATATTGTTTAAGATAGAAAAAAAATTAGATTATATTTTTTGTTTTTTTTTTTTTTTTTTTGTTGGAAGAAAGTGAGATGAAGTGTGGAGGTGAGAGAAAGTGCAAGTGTAGGTTATGGGGTTGAGAAGGGCAGTATTTAAGCAGAGAAATGAAATGGAAAAAAAAGAAAAGTAGGAGTGAAAAAATTAAATGGTCAGAGTATAATTGGGTGTCTGAATTAGGAGGGGAGGTGTTGATAAGTCATATTCTATTGCAGGGGGACATTGTGGATGATGATAGTTTGTTTTCTTGGACTTTGATGAGACTTTATGGATTTACATTTTGGGGCTAAATAATGAGGGTTGTGATGAGTGGGTGAAAAAGGTTAATTATTCGACAACTCGTACTATATAAGTTTGTTGTTTTTGTATAAAATAAAATGAGAGTAATATTATTGAATAAGATTGATGTTATATGGTCAGTTGAATTAATTCGGTTTGAATTGAATCATTTTAAGCTGTTCTGTATGTTTTATGTGATTTTAATGTTTTTAATAATAAAATATAAGTTACCGAGGATAGAAACTTATTTCTCGCTTATTGGCCTCTCTTCCTATTCCAAAATCTTTAATGTTGATTGATATACTGTGTAAGCTTCAATAGTTTTGCTTATTTGATTGGATTAATAATATCATCTCTTATAAATTAAGAAATTCCTTTCTCCAAAGGGGCTAAGGTGTGTAAATAATCTCTTATCATTAGATAATTTTCAGTATTATGTTATACTAGTACGTAGGGCCTGTTCTCATACAATTATTTTCATTTCACTTTGGCTCTAATAAGTTCAGTTCATCAGATAGTTCTAATAAGTTCAGTTCAGCTCCCAATTTCCTTCTCTTATAAAATATTTATTTCAGTTCAGTTCACCTCTAATAAGTTCAGTTCAATTCATCTCTAATAAGTTCAATTCAACTCATTTCAGTCAATGAGAACAGGCCCGTAGTTCATATTTGGTAGGTTTGGTTTGTTGATCATTTTCCTATTAGTACCCAACTATGATAGTTGAGTAGCTTAGCCATTACATTCAAGAATCATTTTCATATTAGTGAAATCAAGCTCTTTGATTAATTTTAATTTATTACTAAATATCTAAAAAAGTTTTATAAAAAAAAAAATCTTTAAATTAAAGAAGTGTATGATTGGTATACGTGGACCCTTATATAAATTTAAGCTATTTGCATTAATGTTTATAACCACATATACAATCTATATCTATATCTATATCTAGTATTTAAAAACACAAACTACACATTACTCATATGCCACATGTCACCACAAATTACTCATATGCCACATGTCACCACAAATCACTCATATGCCACATAGACACATACCACCTTCTTTATCAAAAAATAAAGTTCATGTCTTTATGCATTCTGTAACTTGCAAATTTAAGTAAGGAAATTAAGTGTAACCCGTGCATGGAACGGGCTAGAAGGCTAGTTATTAATTGAATCTTGCTAATGAACGCCCTTGAAGCGTTAGATAAGCATTTAAAATACTTCCTAAAAGGGTATTAAGTTGGGAACACATGTTAGAATTACGCGTACGTAGAATGGTGTAATTAGTATTCATTTTAATTCAATACTTCTACACATACAATTGTTGTATGTAGTGGTCCCTACATACAACTCTAATTTGTCATGTTTCTATTGGCTAAAATAATAGGCACAAGTTTCATTAAATTCAATTTATATTTGACCCCTAATTTTCACCCATTTTCTGTTGATGTATTAAATTTCTAATGGTGTTGTATGTAGGGATAACATATAATAATTGTATGTGTATCAACTCTCACTAATACTCAGTTGTCTAATAATTAGTAAAGGTAAGAAGAAAGTGACATTTATTTATGATATTAATTAATTAATTATATATCGTTATTGATATTAGTTATCTTAAGTGATTAAAGTTTTAATGTCCGAATCCAATATATGAATAAATTTAATCTACATACATTCACATAAATTTGATTTTAATCATATAAATTTAATCTATGTACATTCACACAAATGGGACTAATATCCCTTTGTAGATCTTTATATAACCATTAAAAAGATTGGAAAATTTCATTCTACTGAGTAAAGAAATAGAAATAATAACAATTATGAATTAGCTCAAAGCTTGGAAATTAGAGTACAGATTTTGCATGCAATTCATCAGAAAAATATTGAGAGACGAATAATGGAGAGTAGTGAAGTAAAAACACAGTACAAAAAGGTAGTGGTCCAAAATTACATAATGTTCTGAATTCGTAATTAGGGAGCTTGTTGGATGCATCATTAGAAAAGGATGCCCATGCCCTAACATTTATTGATTGGACCCCCTTTTTCCTTGGGTGCAAAAATGTTAGGGATTGAATTTATAGATCAACCATTTGTGTTTTTTTACTTAATCATTGGCTTTTTTTTGAATTTATTATAGACAGTTAAAATGATATGGGAAATTAGTTTTAAACTCGTGTAACGTAAATGTTAAAATGATGGGAAATTAGTTTTTAACTCGTGTAACTTAGGATTCGTTTGACATTGCTGTGGTTTACTATTATAAATGTCCCAAAATGAATAAAAAATTATTTAAACTTGTTAAAATCATGATAATTTTGAAAACTGACAACAGAAAAGTGAAAATACATTTTTTTTGTTTCTTGTTTTTGGTTTTTTTTTTAAAAAAGAAAACTAAAAACCAAAAATGATGTCAAAAAAGCCCTTAATCATTTTTTTTTATATAAATTTTTTTTATTATAGACGGTTAAAATGATGGGAAATTAGTTTTTAACTCGTGTAACATACATGTTAATCTTTTTATTTAATTAGGTTTTTTGGATTTTGCATTGCATGAGATTTTATTTATTTAGAGAAATGGAGAAAAGATTAAAGACACATCATATAAAAATCAAATTTGAGGAGATGCACAAGCATGATTGACTATACCATTAATTCGTTCATCTAATAGCAAATAAATAATGGCCCATATTCCTATTGTTGTATATTCACCTCTCATTTATTTATTGATTCAGGAACATTTTGTAAAAAACTACCTTATAAAGTACTTTTTTTGTGAGAATCTACCTGATAAAAAAATATTGTAAAAAACTATCTTATAAAAGGGTAAATGTTGTAAGACACTACAATCGGTAGGAAAGTCACCGTTGACTTTTATT